TATTCAGCACTATAAACGATCAGACACACTTTCAAGCAATAATTGTGTTCTAAAGGCTGTAGCTTAGAAGACTGCTAACCGGCAGTATACCTCGATCCTCTCAAGAGGGCGAGTCAGCCTACAAATATTCCTTCTTAATGTGGCCTATATGGCCATCCCATCAAGTTGGCTTTCGAGCCACCACTTGCGTGAAAACCGGGTGCGTCAGGAGTGGACCAGACAGTTTTGGCACACACGGACAGCATGTTTGTTTCTCATTGAATCCACTTCCATGTGCTATTGTCCTAACAACCTTTAAATCGAGGTCAGGTAGATAAGAGCGGAGCGAGTTGTAGAGGTGTGGCGAAAGTCTGATGTTAGTATAAAGTAATTCGTGCGCAAGTTTCCGTGTTGCTTGTTTTGTACGGCCACTTCCATACATATACTACAGTCGTCTTTATAGGCTAATTAAACTTACTTCGTTAATTATTTTTGACTCTTTTTCTATGCTCATTTTACCGTTGTATCGTAACTTTCGTCCTGCAGGCCACTTATCTCAGAAGCTCAGATGGTCCCTCTGCTGTTGACAAAAAGCCGTCAACATCTGATCTGTTTAATTGGGCATCCATCATCCGTCGTTCGAAACGCCGCTTACTCGAAGCTGTTTGAAATCCTGAAGGTTTGGTTCTTTTTTCTTCCGTTTAGCAATCTTTTCTCACCCTTTTTGCTGGATAGGCCAACTGTCCGTTATCCCCGTCTTCGTTAAGCGTTAGTTTTGTGGGTTCCGTGCCTTTGGAAGGTGTTAGAAATCTTATGCTAGCTTAGATTTTTAATTGATCGTCAGAGTATCCGACTGCATCCTTAAATAGTAAATCACAAAACAAACTTCTACCTTGTTTAAACCACAGGTCAACGTCAGCGTCGACCAGGCCGCCAATCCAAGTGGCCGAAGCCATGAACGCCTGCTCTTTCTCCTCTCTCCTGAAGTTCTCGGAGAGCTCATCGAATTCGGAGTTCGAGACCCAAATATCAAGGTAGACATTATTTTTTAGATTAACATTTTTATCGCCTGACTTCTGTATAAACTCAATACACCCTCTCCACAACCAGCTCACTAACACCACACCATCTTCAGACAAGAGTTATTTGTAAAAACAATGCTACTCATTGTTTGTGAATACTATTTAAAAAGTAACAATTTTTATGCGTGCGTGTAGAGATGTTTATGATGCAGCAGCATGTAAACAAAACGGGTTTTCAAAGGCATTGCCTATTACCCTCACCAAATAAATTTAAACTTACCTGTAGATCGCTATCGTGGCTCGCGATTGCCTCCGCCTCCTGCTGGATGGTCATCAATTGATGAGCACCGAGATGTGGCGTCTGTTTTGCCACACAATCACTTCGGGTGCATCTTCTCCCTCAGCCGCAGAGTACCTTCTGAAGGCCACTTGTTGGTCGCCTTTGCTGCCACTGACCATCGGCATCGCTCCATTGGCAAATCTTGAACCGGAAGAGGGCGCGTCGGCCGCCGACGTTAAAAACACTCGTTTTCTGGCCAGACGAGCCCTTGATGTCTGTCTCGGTATTGGCGGATTTAATCAACCTGTCCAACCGACGGACCCATCCGCAGTGTGTACGCAGAGCGAAGTAAGTTGTCTCATTCGGCTGTGTTCAATAATTTAATCTGAATGTCGGACAGTTTCAAATTACCGCTAGGTCTTATGACCCTTGGGATTGTGAGCCATTGGGAGGGGACAACACGAACACGATAAGTTGGCAGCCACTGAGGTGATGGTAGTCCTTAAGTATGTTTTGAGTAAATATGTAAGCCCTTAAAAACTCTATTAAACGCTACGAAAAGCAGTTAAATTGAAAAAAAATGTTTACAAGTCATTTTGTTATACAGAATTCATAAAGCTAATAATGGAATGTAGATGGTAGAAAAGTCGAGATACTTGCTAAATAATGACGTACAGCACTGTATTTAAAAAAATCTAAATCAAACTTGAAGCATGCAAAGCCTGCAGAATTTAATGGAATCAATAAATTTCGCGAGTGCTCTTCAGCTGCGGCCTCTCGCTGGACAAGATGAATAACGTATGAGGAAATACAAAAATGGAATTCGTAAAAAAAATCGATGCAAGGTCGTAGACTAATCAATAATGTAAGCAAGTTTAAACACTGCGGGAAGAAAAAGTAAGGAAAAACGTTCAAAGCAAAAGGTTGGCAGGGAAATATGTAAATTAGGGAGCCGGATATTACGAAAAAAAGTTAGCTTCACCAAGTGCTCGAACTAGGTCGGACTTTAATCACTTTACACTTTTTACCCAGTTTTGCTTCCCATTTTTTAACTTGCTGAATACCAGTGATTGCAGATAATTTTTGCGTTACATTATGGTAAGAAGAGTTTTTGCGGCCGAAATTTTCTTTGAAGTATGTTTTCTCAGGTACAAATTTGAAGATTGTGAATACAGCAGAATTTATTGGAACCATAAACTTCGCGAATGCTCATCAGCTGCGTCCTCTCGCTGCATAAAGTGAGTACCGAATGCGAAAATACAAAATTGAATTCATACAGAAAAATCCATACAAACAGCAAAGTCGCAAGAAATGGCCAAGGAGCAAGGATACGGGCCATTCTGTAGACCCTAAAACATCCTTCCGAGTACTTGTTCGGGCATGAGCAACGGCGGTTTAAACCTGACCTATGTAAACTACTGGAGCATGTGGTGAATGTAACTCCGCCGTGGTAACACCGGCTCCCTGTTTACACATTCCTCTTTCCATCCTTTTTTGCCTTAGACTTTTTTACCCCGACTTTGCTGCTCACGGCGTTTTAACTTTTCTACCTTATTGATTGCCCCTTGGCCATTTCTCGCGACTTTGCTGTTCGTATCGATTTTTCTGTATGAAATCAATCTTATATTTTCTCATTCGGTATTCACTTTATGCAGCGAGAGGACGCAGCTGATGAGCACTCGCGAAATGTGTGGTTACAATAAATTCTGCTGTATACGCCATCTTCAAATTCGAAATTTTCTTCTCCATTCCCAGGTTAATTAGGATGCAGTGCCTGGGCTACGATAAAACACCTTGCAGTGAAACTAATCTCCGTACCCTACTTAGCAGCAGCCCCATCTGTGCGCGCCAATACCTGACTGGTTTCTGTATACTGCCAAACCAAACAGTGCGCAGAGAAATTGACTGCTTCGGGACATGTACTGACTTCCGTTATCTAGTTTACCTCCCAGTCGAAGTAGTCATCAGTCTGTCACTGTCTCGCAAAGCCCAATTTAGTGCAGTTATGC